GGGAAAGAGAAAGTCAACAGCAGATACAAATGTCACTTTATATCATTCTTTGACCTGGAGTCCTTTATTTATTTAGATTCAGCAGTGGCTAAAGACCCTGTTGCTGTCGACTGTCACAACTACACAAGGTCCTTCTGAAGTTAGTGACACAGCCATTTGCATGCCAACTATTGTTTGTAGAACTAGGGCCTTTAAGTACTAACCATCATCTTAGAAGGTGGCTTTGGTAGCTGACTGGAACTGACTGAGCATTTCCTCCAAGAAACTGTAGAAAATACTGTTTGTGGGAAGTGTGTGAGTGAGGGTGAATGGGTGAGGGGCTCATGGCAGGAAAAACAACTAACAGGAAAGGGGAAGTAGAAACATCATCCTCCTTGCTCTCAAACAGTTCTTTATCTGACAGTCCTCCTGCTGGTCGCTTGTCCTGCTGAGTCCCCTCCTCCTTCCGTCCCCTTGACATGCAAAATACACATCCAGAGACTACCTACACAATGAGAGTTACAGTACTTTGTTACTGAAACTCCCTCTATGCCCATTCTCTAACTCTTGTGTAGGATTCCATTGTTTTGGTTACTGCCTCGCTTGACGTTATGTGAATCGCACCTGCAGTACTGCCCAGTCTGGGGTTGTACAATGCAGTAATAACTTGAAGCTACTAGGAGTTCAAGAGCGTAAATGTTCCAGGATATGCTTTCTGCAAATTAAATTGCGTTTTAAGTTATATTTTCTTTCTTATTGTTAATATTTTAATCTGTAAATATTGTGCTCCTATAGGAAAATTAAATGCCATATACTAATTTTCCATAAAGTGTGTGTTTTCTTTTTGATGGTCTTCAGCCTGACTTCTGAAATCACTCTTTACAGTTAGATGCTGTTGATATTTGATTTCGGTGGAGTCACTTCTGATCAGCATCAACATTCCAGCACTTGATACATTTTCCCAGCCTAGAGATCTGTCAGTTCCCATTTCTTTACTATTAAGTAATTTACTATTAAGAAATTAAATTACTGTTAATTTACTATTAAGAAATGAAAATTAAATAAGAAGGTTCTGTGACAATATACAAAAAAAAGAAAACAAAAATTAAAAAGCATGATAAAATATGTCACTCCTAATTCACTGCTGGCAATTCACTTTTCATTTTGTTTGTTTAGGTACTTCCCATCAAGGTGGCTATTCCCATGATGCTGTGGTCCATGCATTACAAAAATGTGGCATACGTCATATTGACACAGCAAAAAGATATGGCTGTGAATCTCTCCTCCAAAAAGCCATTGAAGAGAGTGGTGTGAAGCGGGAGGACCTGTGGATAACTACCAAACTCTGGCATAGTGATTATGGCTATGAAAACACAAAAAAAGCCTGCTTGGAGTCATGTGAAAGACTTGGTGTTAAATATCTTGGTATGAATCTTTACATATTGCTTATTTATTGTGCCTTCCATGGAAGTATTTGCAAAGATGAATGAATTCTTGAAAAAAAATTATGTAGTACAGATAGATCACAGAAACCGAATTCTACCTTATTTACACATTTGTAGATTTCTTTTTCTGTTTGTTCTCTGAGAAGTTCACATGCATATAAATGAGAGCACACAATTTTTCCTTGTTGCAAATGTTTTGAAACAGATCAAGGTATGTTTTGTAAAGTTATGTTTCATTGTTAAATTGATTTGAGGATCCAGTACATGAGTTTCAGGTGGTTTTAGCAAAATAGATGAAAATATGAAATAAGGATTCATAAACTTCACAATAATTTATTGGTAACAAGGTGACAAAAATGCCTAATTACATGTGTGGTCTGCTGAATCTCAAGGAATGGGAGTCCTTTCTAAAACTTATTTTGTAGGTCTATTAAATGGTAAAAATTCTGAATAACTGCTTTTGGTTTGGACTGATGCAATAAACTTTAGGGAAAACATTAGAAGTATCTACAAGACTTTAGAATACTAAATGTAACTAACACTAAATTAGACTTTTGCGCTTTCAAACTTACCCTGACCATAAACTTCTTGTAGTCAAAGATGTGATATTGTTACTCCCTTATTAGACAGGCAAAGAGCTGCAATAATGATGCCAATTAATTCTTTTCAGCAGGTTATAGGAGAGGAGGTACCTGATAAACATGGTATTTTTAAAAAATGCTTTTGCTGCTTCTTCCCTAGCTAAAGCAATTAAAAGAAAGAGGAGGTAGAGGAAGATGAATTTAAAGTACTAATCTAAAATAATGACACAGGTGGAGGTAGTGTTTATGCTGATAATCAAGGAATAACTGACCTAACCATCAGACATTATATGTCAGTGTCCTGAAAAGCCTCATTTTGCTTCTCTTTCCTCACCCTGTCCCCTTGTTGCCAGTAAAAAAACTTTAATGAGGAAGTGAACAGCTTTTGTGAAGTACAGATTTTGCAGAATTAATGGCATACAATATTAGTGGCAGCTGTGTGCTGTATTCACTGGCTTTTTTTCTTGGGTACATTGCAAGATGAAGGGAAAAAAATCTGTATCTGTTGAAGACTGAAATATTTGTTTGCAAATATTTGGCTCCATTCTTCATGGAAACATATCCCTTAACTTCCTGCACAGGTACAGAATAATGCAAAGTTAATTAAAATCTCTCTCTGTCCTGTGCAAATAGGGGTTACTGCAAGGAGACTTTCGTAAACAAAGTTTCAAGCCCAGACTTTCTCCTCTAAATTAAGAAATAACGTTTCCTCCCCTCTGCTTTCAGCTTATGTTTTGTGTTTGCTTTCTTTTTCCTTCTGCTTGCTATGGCACTGGTGCTGAATGTCGATGAGAGAAAAACTTGACTCACTTCCAGGAAATAATTTTCTGTGATTCCTTTTAGTACCGTAATTTGCTTTTATTTTCTCAGGTAGTAGACTGATTAAAGTAGATGCTTACACAAATACTCAGTTTACATATTGCTGCTAAGCAGAAATATGTGAGACAAGTTAAAAAAAAAATCTGAGAGCAAGAAATGCGCAAATATTGTTACCGTGTGAGTGAATCCTTGGACTGGCATAAACAGAACTTCAGTTTGTCGGATATGTTCAGCTCTGAGACATCTTTTGCTCATATTAGTAAGACAAATTAAGGAGTATTAGAACTGCCTGTGCAATTGGCCTCCATACCAGACTCCACCCCCACCCCCCACCCCCCCGCTTTTTTTATTATTAGTATACCCTCACCCATCTTCCCTCCTTCCTCACCTTTCTTCCACTGATGTGGAGAAGTCTGAAAAATGTATAAACCTCTTCCTGGACCACCACTTAGTCTGCCATAGTGACCTAAATCAGTCCTGGCTTCAGTTTGCTTTAACTTGACTATTTGTAAACTGCAATTCACTGATATGTCGGTGAGGATTGTGACCTCTGCAAGAATGGGATGGCAAATGGAGTAACGGTTTTGACTGCTTATGTTTAGGATCGACACCACAGACCATTTTTGTTAGCACAGTATGATCTGCACTCATGTGAAAGAGATAAGGTTGAGTTCTATGTTTAGTGCTATATATGCTGGTGAAGTAGACCCTTAGAGGTGGTACAATACATGGTGTGTTTCATGGTGTTCATACAAAGCATCATGCTTTAAGGAGTCCTATACCTCCTGTCTGAAAGCACCCAGCTGGAAGGTGCTATTGAAAGCATTTTTAAGCAAAAAGTGGCAATATCTTAAAACATGAACTTTTCAAGTGTTTCAAGAATGCTTAGAGTTAGAGCTTTTTGTTGGAAATTTGTTGGGGGGTTATCACAAGTCTAACAGAAGTAACTGGAATGCAGAAGATTGGTTTGAAAATACGGTTATAACCTTGTAGAACTAAGCTTAGATATCCTAGCTCTGTTTTTATTCATACGTGCATTTTATGTCCCTTTTCTGCTGGCCAATCTATACAAGAGAGAGGACATGAAATCCATGACAAGAAAAGATCTGGTAATAACAGGGCATTTTGTGTCCAAGCTTATTTAGGAAAATAAATTTTTAGTTACAAGAATGTGTTAAAGCTGGCAGTTTTTCTATGAAATAGAAAATAAAGGTACATTAAATGTACCTAAAGTAGAATTTCCTGATTTCATTATATGATATTAACCAAATCTGTGGTGGTTCACAACATTTCCATAAAGATACATGGTTCAGATATGTTATTTAGGATCTGTCAATATTCTATCTATGAAGTTAGGCCTTTAGGTTGGAGGGAAAGCTAGTCATTCAGAAGGCTGCAAAAAGAAAAAGCTGTAGGAGCCCTGGCAGCTAAATGTGCAGCTAAGCTCTTTGTTCCAAGGAGGCTCCTGTTAATTTTCTTGAGGATACTTAATGGGCTACACAGTCTATCCATGCAGACTGAATTAGAGACTTGGGAAATAATGTAACAGGAATTGATAAATCTTTGCATTAGCAGTATATAGAATGCCAGATGTTGAAATAGATGAACTGCTGAAAGCAGTCGCAGCTTTTTAAGAGAAAAAGTGTACCATGTAAAATACTGTTATGAAACCTTTTTGATAATACCATTTGCCCAAAAAGTGTTTAAGAGAGCAGTGTTCCAGGATTTTTATTTGAATCAGTAGATCATATATCCACAGAAAGCTGGAAACTTTATTATTTGTGGGCAGTGGTTGTTACAGATATCCTACTCCTTGTATTTTCCAAATGTGGTCCTCAAGTAGAAGTCACAGTAAACCAATATGAAATTGCAGCAAATCTTACAGGTTTGGCAGTAGCAGAATACATTCCTTGGGTTTTGGATCAAACCTCCAAAGTAACTTCTTGAGTGTGATTTGTGGGTTACTGAATTCATGAAGAATTTTATTTTCCTTTTGACTGTTCAGAGTCTGTCACGTTCAGGCAAATTTAACCTATCGTAAATCCCCAGCTGGATTTGGACAAATGTTCTATAAGCATATTCAGTGTAATAGGTGAATCACATGAATGATGGTAATACACCCAGGTCAGGTTGTCTATGAATTCAGGACACTTTGGGGGTTGCTTCACATTGATCCTTGTTCCAATAGAATAAAAAACAACAAAAAAAGATTGTGCAGGAGAGAAAAATACATCGTGTACGTACAAAGTGCAGTGACGATTAAGAAAAGCAGGGAAAATACAATCATTGCATTAAGATAATTGTGCTAAATATTGAATAAATATACTTTTGCTTTTAGATTTGAGATGAGCCAGGGCTTGTTCTTCAAAACTAGGTTTGTTATAGTGAGTTTTGACCCTTTTTTAAAATACTGTATTAGGAATTTGAATAGGATTGCAAACTTTTTATTTCCTTGGCAACATGCTGTTGGCTTTTAAATGTGTAAAATGTCCTTGTACTTTTGAGTTAAGAGGAACTATGTTAATTGTAGGTGCTGCAACAACTAAGAAGTAATAAGCCACTCTATTTTAAATGTCTGTGTGAAAGCAGTTCATGTGTTAATTTTAGTTTTCCTGCAGCACTGTGTTTTGACATTTGAATGAACTTCAGGCCCTCGCTTACCACTGCACCACTACAGCTTGATTGTCTGTAAAGGATGCTGTAAAAAGCTGGTAAATACAAAATCCGATTGTGAATGTTTGGGTATTTCTCTTCTTCCTCAAGTGCATCCTGATACTGTGAATCATTGTTTTTTGGTGGTTTTTTTTAGTTAAGATTATTTTTGTTTTTAAATATGGTTGGAAGACATCTTAAAGTATTGATTAATCTATCCCCCACTACAAGGCACAGCTACATCGTCTCAACAGATAAAAATTTAGTCTGTTCTTAAAAACCTCCAGTGATAGAGTTACACATTTCTTGGCTACTGGAACCTTAAACTATTTTGATAAATAACTTAAAACAAATTTCTTGCCTCCAAAATGAAAATAAGAGTGTTTGTGTTCATGTAATCCCCTGGGAGGGGAAATATTTTAAGCAAAAGAAAGTGTGTGGGTGTAGGTGTGAATGTGTGTACAAATGAAGATGAAATCATAGACTGGTTTGTGAGGTGCTTACTGGTTTTATTGGCCTACAGGTATTATGGAAAGTTTTGGGTTTTTTTAACAGATGCAACAGAAGTAAGCAGATCCTAACTTAAAATGAACTATGCTTAGTTTATTTAAGTAGAGTGGCAGCTCCATTGCTCGTTGCAAGGTACACTGTATTCCTTCTGTTTTGAGCTGTGGTGGGGTGGTTTGTGCGTGACTGGCAGAAAGACCGTTCTGCTCTGTCTCTCAGATAAGGTACCTTTGCCCCACATCTTTCGCAAACAATTCTTGCGCTCAGGAGGACTGCACTTTGTGGTCCAGTAGATGCTTTCTAGCCCTGAATGCATCTATTTCTAACTGTGAAGTAATTTTTATTTCAACAAAAAGCCTCAATTAAAATAAACATAATAGGATGATATGGATATCACATACTGATAACATCACCTTTCTAAAATAAAGGACTAAGAGCTAATCATGGTTGCATTGAAGAGGTCTCAGACACTAATACAAGGAAGGGTGAGGTACTGCATTTTGTAAATATCCAAAGCCAGAGATTTTTCAGTTATCAAATCTCTTCAAAGTCATTCATCTGAGAGTGCTTCAATTTCTTGGGCTCAGTACAAAGCATCTGTATGTGGATATCGATGGTGTAGCTATTTCTGTGAACATTTGCAAACTGTGATCTCTAATTGAATATTTAGGCTTTTGGAAAAGTAGCTTTTGGTGAAATTCTGCTGAAGTTATTGATTATTTTTTGTGGCGCTATATGACGTGTTTCTACATAGTTAAGCAATTCTTACTAGTCTGATTTGGAGAACATAACAAGAAGCAATTAAAGATACGTAATTCTTCCATTTTCACATGAGGTAGACATCAGATACCGGTAACTTATACCTACTTATATATGACATAAGCAAAAATGTTTAAATTAAAACATGGCAGTCTTTATGCAGTAAGTACTGCCAATGGTATATATAATTTTGCATCCAAATGAACACTTGATATTAGGAATTACTAAAGCTAATCCTTGGGATTATGTCTGACATAAATCAGTGGAAATTTTAAGAGACTTTATTGGCAAAAGAGTTAGAGTAGTGCTGAGTTTTGAACATAACCTTACCAAATGCTTTAATCAATATCCCAATATTAGTTTTCACTTAAATGTCACAGAAATTGGTACTTATTCCAATACTATATATTGGTATTTATTCTTAATAAATACAACTTCTTTCCTGAGGGCAATTAGAGAAGAAGTAATTACTTGCAGATCAGTGATGAACAAGACTGCATGTGGTTTGTTCTACTCTCTTCTAAATTGGGAGTGGATTTTATGTATATAGGGGCAAAGAATGTGACATAAATACAGATGCTGCAAATCATTATATATGAGTGATATTTGCTTGTCTGAGAAATTGTGTTTAAAAGTCTAATGGGTTATTGATATCAGAAAGTGCAGGTTTAGTTCATTATTTTTGTGATACACCTAAAATAATTTTTTCCTTGATACATCTGTAATGCATCTTGCTGTACAAAATTCTGTAATGTTCTAATTAGATTCTTAGTGTAAGCAAAATACTCTCTTTAACAGTGTTGCAATAATGTACCCAAATGGAAACTGGTGCATTTATAGTTAATTTCCTGTCACCTTTAACTCTTAAATCGGGGTTGAGTATGTGTTTATTGAGGTGGAAAGCTAATGTACCAGCCCGGTGGTATAGTAATCATTAGCGCAGTCCTTAAATGTGAATAAAAAAATATGGCAGAGGATCTGTGTTTTCACAAAGAGGGGCTGAAAATAAATGTCAAGCATTCAAAGAATAAAAAACTCTGATCATTGCAAACGCATCAATTTTTTTATTTATTAACTCTATTTGAACTGCCAAAAAAGGAATATTATAAAGCACAAAGACAACCATGCACATCTCAGTCATGCACTTATTTCTTTTTCTGGTTTGTGTCAGACTAACGTATGATGCAAAGACCAACACCTCTTTGACTGCGATGAATGCAGTTACCTGTTTAATCTGCCATTAGGATTTGAATAGGAATGTTATTGTTTTCAAGGTATCTCCTTCAGAATGTCTAGCAGTGTCTACAAACTTATAAAGGAGTTATATGTCCTATCATTTTTGAAATTTAGATAATTTGATTTGGAACTCTGAGCCCAATATATGTAGATTTCTCACTTTTCTAATTTTTCTTGGAAATGCTTCCTTTTTCATTAGAAGGATCGTCTTTTCTTGCATGGAGACAATGGAAAAAAAAAAGCTTTCCTGAGACATCCAGTTTCAGTAGCAGCTTGGATAATTTCGTCAGCAGTAAATCTTAATTGTGCTTGAAAAGGTTCTAACATTTTGTAAAATATAATAAAGCATAATTTTGTTCCCTTAAAATAATATTTTTTAAAAGCCTAAAAAAAAATCACAAATGCTGCCACAAAATTATATCAAAAAAACCCCACCAAACAAACCCTATATGAAAGAATGTGCTGTATAATTTCCAACAGAAATTCCTAAATGGAAGTATTCTTTAGAAAGGGAAAAACAGACCCACTGCTGGTTGTATAAAATGTCTGCAGAACTGCCAAACATGTTTATCTTCCATGAACTCGAAGACTTGTAGCACTTCAGCAGTAGTCCAGTCTTAATTCCAGTGACCAAGATGCCTTTTATTTAAATGGGACTTGTTATATGTTGAAAGTTTATTAAGTGCGTATGTGACCACGAAATTCTGATTACAGTGACCTAAACCTGTGGCACATGTACAACTTCTGCTACCTTTACTTGTTAATGAAATGTGGATTTTGTTTATTAAAACTAAATGAATGTATACAGTAATGGTCATGGAGTAGTAATCGTAACTATTTTGATCATAATATGCTAGGGAATGTTATGGAGAGAAAATGCTGTTTCATGTGGGGTTTTGGTTGTTTGGTGTTTGGTTTGGTTTTTTTTTTTTTTTTTTGACACTTTAATGTGTGTTCTGGTTCTGTTTCTTTTTTAGATCTTTATTTAATACACTGGCCTGATGCACATGTTCTGGGTAAAAGCAATCGAGAGGTCCGAGCTGAAACCTGGAGAGCAATGGAGGAGCTGTATGAGAAAGGTGATACAATAATGAAAACCTATCATGGCAGAGGGAATTATATTGCATTTTGGGATTTGGGGAATTCATAGTGAGGGATGTTCAAAAATTTAATTTGAACTGGATGCTCATATTTCAGTGGGATTTGGGTGTGTGACTTGTATGAATCTCTTCAGAAATTGCAGCATTAGCATTTTGGTAAGTTAAATAAGAGAGGTTGTATTGCTTATAAACAATATGTTGCCAAATTCTGCCTGTGAGATTAATGATGGTGTGCATATTTTCTTGAGAAAATCTACAGATTACATTGAAATGTATATCCCACTATAGAACATGATTTTAGCAGTCTCTTTTGTTTTAAGTATAAATCATGCCAAGTTTTACTTCCTTTAGATTTTTTTTTTAATTGTATGATGCCATTTTCCAATTTATCATATATTGTGGTACTTTATAGATTAATTTGTGGTTTAGAAAAGGTGAACAAAGCTATGACTAGATGAGGAACAAATACTCAATTGCAGATTCTTTAGTACTTACTACTGAAAAAAAATTTCAAAGGAGGGAGCTATTCTCTCAAGCTCTGATACCTGTGAATTTGATTTTTGGTACACTGCAAACTTCAGTTTACATTTATAGCGATAGGAAGAGTAGACTGCCCCAATCAAAATTTATCTTGCAGATTTAAGAGGAGGATTTGCTCCTGAAGCATACAGTATTATTAGAAATAGTGTCGTAAGAGAAGATCCTGTCATGCAGTTCTTGGGCAATGTGGACCACCCTGTTTACACTTCAGAGAAGTTCCACAGACAGAGAGAAGACTTCTTGGGTTAAGTAGTCTATCTGCTAACCCAGAGTGACTGAAATAGTGATTGTAGTAGGAGAGCTGTACAAAAGTAATTACAGGCTCTGTGCCGCTATCAGTTTTATCAATGCAATAAATAAACCTGTTATCTTATACTTCAACCATTCAGTTACTTTTTGTCTGCCTCTGGAAACACAGAAGAAAATTATCTTTGATACATCTTTTGTTCTTGCTTTTTATATTCAGCATAAGGGAAGTTGCAAAAAATATTTTCTGCTATGTAAGGGATTACAACATTCAGTTTTGAAAGAAACACTACACAGACCTAATGTTTCAAAGCATCAGTGCGTTTTAAGTCCAAAGATGGATTATTCAACAAGATACTTCATCTTTCCATTGAGAAGTTTTCTTTTCTGATGAGTATTTAAGTTAGTGCATGACATTTGTGCCTAGATATGCCATCCTAATTTGATGCACACAGGTTGTATTTTCACCTTCTATTATTATTCCTATCCTATTGGCTTTATTCTGCTTTTGCCTGTGTATTTGTGATCTTTCCTGTCTTACACAACTCTTTCTTTCTCTATATATCTTCCTAATGGGAAAGCCTGTGAGCTCTTCAGTGGTCTTCCAGTAACGCATTGGAAATACCATCTCTGGCCTCATAGGCAGATGAAAAATTACTTTTATTTTTTGTTCCTATGCATGATACCTCTTTACCGACATCCTATGTTATATTTATTTTTCTGCGATTGCATTTCTTCAACAGTTTTGTCAGTTTGCATGTTGCTATCCTCAGTCATCTTCTGGATTTAAGCATTCTGTATACTCATGTTTCATTTAGCTGAGCATAAGTTTTCCAGCTGTGGTTGTCTAAATTACCTCAGTTAAATCATCTACATGGGAAGGAAAATTTATTAGTCTGGTTGAATCAAGTGCCTTAGAATATTAACCTCCACATTTTTGCTCTGGATGTCCTGACCATAACCGTGTGTTACTGAAATGATACACAAATGTTAACCACTCTGGAGATGGAAATGCAATGAATCCCAAGGAAAATGTTAAATAATTTGTTTGCATGGTTAACCGCTAGACTTTCCACTGAAGATTGAACACTTGCTGCATATCTTTATGTGACTTGCTATGTGTTATGTGAGCAACATGTTAGCCTTGGTATGAATTGAATATAGGATTTGGTTCTTTGTCTTCTCTGAACTTGACGTTGGTTCAGGTAATCATTGGTTCCTGTTTGCAATCCTGTCACTTGGCGGGGGGGATGTTTATTCTGGAAAAAAAAAATTAGTAAAAACTAAATCCCATTTGAAGATTGACCATTTAAATGAATAATATGCTTCTGCAATTGATTGATGAAGGAAATATTGAAATTATTCAACTTGCTAGTGTGTTTAACAAGTAGCTGTGTCCACACTGAAGAGTTTCTGAAAGTGCAGTGACAATAAGCACTGTTCTCCATGGGGAAAAAATGGTTTCTGTTATGGGACTGATAATCATATCTATCTGCAAGAGACTTAGGAGATGGTTAAAGTGACCTAAGTCTTTGGTCTGGCTGAAGTTAACAAGATGTTCATTAATCATGTCTCTGTATTCACAGATCGTTTGAGTGCAGATATGTGAAATCTTAATCTTTCAACTTCAATTTAAATCCAGGTTAATATTTATTCTTCAAAATTCCACTTACAAGGGGCAAGCAACATTTTAAAATACTGTCAATTATTAGTAGTCTTTTTTATTGTTATTACCAATTGCTTAAGAGGAGGGTAAATAAACTGTTAGTACCCAAGCCTGTAAAAGTCTTTAATGCAGGGTTTTTTTAAGATTGTGTTAAGCTTTAGATTGGTCACAATTGTCACAACTTGACACAAGAAAAATCCCAAAGGCATCTACACTCATAGCTTTGAGACAATTTTTTTGGAGGGATCATGTCTACAAAGATAGATTCAACCAGGTTCATCTGGGAGCCAGCACATAGCAGCTGAGAGACAGGGCTGCAGGAGAACAACTTGCAGGACTTCTGGCCTGAAGTACCCTCTCACCCAGCTAGCTCAGGAGAGACCAGAGATTGTGGGTCTGTGCCCCTGTCCAGGTCAACATGCACTAATTTATAAGATTTTGCCCCCAGATAATTAAAACTGTGTGACAGGTTAAAAAAAAAAAAAAAATCTTAATTATTTGTCAAAATTTTTAAAATAAATATTTTAGGGAGCAGAAAACTTGCATAAAAAGTAAAACAAAACTCAGATTATAGTGAGTGCGGTTTTAGTAAACTCCTAGGTACCTCTGGCTGTAGAAGAAATACCAGGTTTATTGTTATTTGAATGCAGCATGTGCCTATGAAATTGGTGTGTAAACTGGTAGATGTGCATTCACGGAGATGTGTGGGCATCCTTAAGTGAAGTGCTTAGTATTGCTTCCTATATATAGTCTTAATGAAGGTTTGGAGTTGAGCTATAACATCATAATATTATCGTAAACAGAAAATAATAGATTCAGGTGACGAGAGCGATCTTTTGCTATCACTGAAAAATCCCCACTGTGGCTTACCACTATACTGTTTTTGTATTTCATCAAAAGGAATTTGAGGTTAACATTTTTCAAAAGAATCTCTTGTCGTGATACGATTTGAACTGGAAACACAAACAATTTAAAAAGAGAATCTGAACAATGTTTGTTAGAAATTTTGTTACCCTCTCCAGCTGATTACTTACCGTACTGAAGTTTTGGGCTGCACTCCTTGGACCCAACGTGCTTTGTATCTTTGGAAACTAAACATAATCTGGTTATTGCCCTAAGGCTGGGGTCTCAGGAACACACTTGAAAGAAGGTTTCATGTTTTAGCGCACTCACTCTTGTGCTTGAATCCACTGTTCAACTGCCTAATGCAACTGAGCAGCTATCTCAAGATCTCAGTTCAGGTTAAAAACAATTTCCCAGAATCCTGGACATTTTGCTGGACATTTTTCATGAAGGAGACAATGACAGATATGAGAGCATACCCAAAAACACTCATAGGGATCCTGAAGCCGCTATTGTCCCTTACTGTAATAGTATGACATAATACATGTATTATCTATGTTAAAATCACACATCCTGAAAGTTTTACCCACTTCAGGTGTTTTAATCCCTCTGGGTTGTGTCTGAAACATCATCCTGTGTCTCTCTGGTTTGCCCTTGAGCTACAGAGTCTTTGGCTAAACATGCTCATCTTATTTTCTCCTGGCTAAATCCTTCGGTATGTTTCATAGAGTCCATTAGAAGTCCTTTAGGATCTTTCCCTCTTTAACCTGAAATTTGTATATTTTTACCCTCTATCCTCTCTCCCATACAAACAAGGCAAGGTTATACTTTTAGTTTGCTTTTTAAATATTCCTGTTGCATAGCCAGAGCCCAGTCCTTAAATTTCCTGGTTTCCTGTAATAACTTTCTAGGGAAAAATGTCATACAGTCTTCGTCAACAAAGGTAGATACATATTTACAGCGGTATACAAACCTATAGCATTGTATCATTCCATAACATGAACCAAACTTATAAATTGTATGTACATTTCCCCAAATCATACAGAAAGTATATTAGAATGCTTATTCATCATATTAATGAGTTATAGCACTGCTTGATTCATGAGACATTCACATGCTGGTTAAGAAAGGATTCAGTGCAGAGATTTCTATTTTGTCTTACAGTCTGTTGTCTTTCCTAAGTCTTCAGACCCTGAGATTTGCATGCATTCAGGCCCGGCCTTGCTTCCAGAGGGAATTGCGCCATCTCTTATGGTGGCTCGGGGCTCAGAATTCTGCACCTGGTCTTGGTAGTCGGAAGATTTTCTAATAGAAAAGCTCCTGAGGAACTGCCGCAATTTCCACTGATCAGTCATTGCAGCTTTTTTATGTTGAGAATTAGGAACAAATGAATGGGGGAGGATAATTATTTCCTTTACTGTCTTTAGAATTGTAGTGTACTTGAAAGTAGAGGATAAAGGCACTACCTGCACTAAAAACTCCTGTTTAAAGATGCTGGGTGACTTCTGATAGACCAAGCTGATAGCTAACAAATTTCTACTAGCTGAGGACAACCTTACAGTTTCAAGAATTAGTTTCTGTAAATGCTGTTATGCCTGAAAATGTAACATTTCTTTTTTCTTTTTTTTTTTTTCCATTTCTTATATTCTGTGGCTTGTTAATCTGCTCCAGTTTGATTGGAGCT